TCTCAGCCAATCACAATGAAGTAATATTCTACTCATATAGTAATATCCGGAACATCATAAGTCGAAGATGGATACTTACGACAGAACATCGTGAGGAACCATGGGATTGCGTACAGCTGTTGGGAGAACCAAACGACAGCGTGTCACACGTGGTTTAAATAGTAATGGCGTACCCTGGTATCTAAAATTTGCAATAGTATAAAATTAAGAAACAAATTAAGGTGTTCAACAGTCAGGACTCTGCAGGAAACTGTAAGAAAGGAAAAACTCCGGGTTCTGCCACAGCCGTCGAACCTTATCTTTGAAGAACCAGTAGCAGTTAGTCGGGAGGGGACTGAGCAGCAAAATCAACGCGGCCAAAAAACAAAACAAAACAAAAACAAAAACAAAAACAAACGTGGTCAAAGCTTACAGTCGGCGAAAACTCTCAAAGCACCAATTTGCTGCTTGGTTTACTTTGTTTCATTTCTACTGATTGTACCTCGGTCTCCTAGAACGGTAAAAGCTGCAACGTTTTGCCCGTCGTTTTGTGTTTGTGGAGGGTCATGGGCTCTTTCAGATTTTCTCGTTTGGAAGAGCTCGGAAATTTTTCCGAGAAGTTTGTGCCACTGATTATTAAATATCATTTTCATTGCAACGACGTTGATACATCTGATAAGCTCAGTCCAGCTTCATTTTGTTGATCAGATGCTAAGAGAATCAGATCATACCTCTGGAATAAATCCAGTGTCATGAAGATGGTTGAACAACTCTGGATCATGAAAGGCGATCAACTGAGAGAATACCGCCAAATATTCTACATTGAAAATGAAAGAAAACAAATCACTTGGAAAACTGACTGAATGAATGAATGAAAGACTTTATTAAAGTGTCAACTATTAACACAACGCATTTAACGGTCACAAAGACTCAAAAATAACAAAAGGCAACACACCTTGTATGATTGCCGAATTATCCTTCAGAAAAAAGTGGTACAGGTATTTGGGAATAAACGCCGCCAGACAAGCGTAACCAAGAGCTACAAAAATGATATGTCATACATTAGTAACCGTTTTGCCCTTGGGTGTTAAGCTGAATAGACTTCTTACCTTCATCGTTAAAATGAAGAGAAAGGAAAGGGGCGCAGAGAGAATCCAGTCCTGAGGAAAGACAAAAAATAAACAACAAAGCTTAAGTCTGAGTATAAGCCGGGCTTAAAGTCGACGAGGGAGAAGAGAGAGAGAGAGAGAGAGAGTGGATCTAAAAATCTCCAAGGATCTAAAAGTCTTATTGGAAGGATTTTAGCTTTCGAGATTTTTTTGGTACAGGGGGTGGAAATATTTTCCGGAGGTATTTCCGCAACGGCTTTTTAGCGAATGTTTCGGTATGTGGTATTAACTGTGTCCCGTTCTTCGCCAGATGACTGATTGATTACCTTGCCAGTAGACCAGGTCAGTGTGACGTACAACCCAGGCCTTGAGAATCCTCTTGAACTTCTGATGAGCGACTGGTGAAGACAGCAGTTCATCATACTGGTGACAGCGAGGAATGTCAACTTCGATCTTTGAAAAAAGAAAAGAAAGCGATATTTTAGAGCTGCATTAGGCCGGAGTAAGATAAAGTTTTATTCGATTTTGATAACATGGATAGTCTTGGTGTTTGGAAGTTCCAATACGCAAATAAAAGTCCAAAACAAGAATATTAATATTTTAGGGCTGATACTGTTTCCTGGTAACGATGCTAAATCAGTGGCGGGTTACTGGGGAGAACTGACAACTCGAGCGGCAGCCGCGAGAAGAATGAGGAGAGGCGCGAAAAGTAAACTGTCATTTCTCCCGCCTCTCCCCATTCTCCTCGTGGCTCGGGTCGTGACGGTAAAATATTGCAGAGAATTGGAGCCAAGCAGGCTAGTTTAGATTGTTCTCACCTGTCTGTCCGTCTGAGTAAACGATTCCTTGTCTATTGCGTCGTATGTACCTTGGATGTCCCCCTGATGAGAATACCACGAGATAAAAAAGCGAAGAGGTTTGAGAATAAAACAAAATGCAAAAAAGTAGACAAAGCGGGCGCACAAATCACTTTTGATTGGCTGAGCGTATGGCTTACATCCTATCTCATCTCTGATTGGTTTAATTGTGTCGTCACGCAATGCTCTTCTGGTGTGAACCCTTGCATGACTATCCAACTGCTGCAAAGAATCTTATCA